AAAACGGGGAAACTTTCCATTATGACCGTTCGTTAAAGGTGCGGTGGTCGAAGGGGGAGTGGGCGTGGTACCTCCAACCAACCTTTTTGGAGAGGGCATGTACCGCAATTGACAAAAATGCTACCCCCGACCACCTAGGCCCCCTATGGTTACCTACGGACCCCTTAGAAAAATTGCCAAAAATCGCAATTTTTACTTGCGTCCACAGTAATTTTGCGTAGAATTCCTTTCTGCCTTCGGCCGCGCTTAGGGATTATAACCCTTACTACGTAGAATTCTCCTTTCTGTGTGCACCTAACTGGGGCTACCTCCCCAGTGATGTAACCTTGTGAAAGGATGAGGTAACTAGAATTCCCTTTGTGTGGTAAACCTGGGGCTGCCGCCCCAGTGATGTCTATTTTGGTTACTGGGTGTTTTATAAAAATGTCTTATATATAAAAATGTGTATATAAAAATGTATTGTGCCAATGAATATTTAACATTTTCCAAGCGAATAAACGCAAATGAAAATTGTGATTTTTGGCAATTTTTCTAAGGGGTCCCTAGGGAACCATAGGGGACCTAGGTGGTCGGGGGTTTCATTTTTGTCAATGGCGATTCATTCCCTCTCCAAAAAGGTGGGTTAGAGGTGCTACGCCTACTTACCTTTCGCCCACTGCTCCTCTAACGAACGGCCATAAAGGAAAGCCAACCCAATAAAACTGATGCATAACATTCTAACAAACGCGTATCCACAAGAATCCCCTCTCTTGTTTTTTCACCATTGAATGATGTAGGCCCATAACAGAGGCTTACTACGTAGTTATATATCTGTGTGTCTGTATGTAACACTACTGATGCCGGTTAGCTTTCATTCCATTATGTCATTTAACCGGAAATCTACACGAGTTCAAAACTATGCAAGTACGTAAATTGCCACTTGCCACGTATCATCCCACCTAAGGGTCGAACATTTTTAATCATCAAACAAACTAACGCCCCGTCATATGCAAATTCACATATGTGTACATAGATACATACATACATAGTTACATATTTATGAGGCCTA